GAAAATTATCCTCATTTATAATTTCTACTATACTTATTATTTTCATTAATTATTGTATATAATGTTGATTTGAACAATTAACTAAAGTCTTAAACTGACATAAGAGACTTTGTTACGTAGAATCAAATTAATGTTACTTTGAGATTTTTATTTTCTTTTATGATTGTACTGCAAACTTCTGCATACTTACTTTTGAATTTCCCTACTTTTAGTTCCTCTTGATTACTGTAAGTTTTTAATTTTTTAACAAAGGTTTACAATAATTGTATTAGTTCTAAATAGCAAATGAAACATTAATATTACTATTTTATCTTACCAATTGGCAATGTGGTCACTTTGGACATCAGAGTCTGTGCTAATGCTTTTACCATCTTCTGCTTTCATATTTACAACTTCTTTAGTGACTGCCTTAAGAACCTTTCTGTTGAATATAGATATAAACATAAACAATATGGTGGTAAAACAAAATGCAGTGCTACTATTTACATGTTACTTTGCTTGTTATTAAAGATATTCATCAATAATGATCTATACAATTTTGTAACCTTTCCCTGTCTGATGTCTTCCAAAAAGACTAGATTACAAATCCCACTAAATTTCTGGTCAGGACTAAATTGGAGATTATATCATATTATAATTTTGATAAACATTTTCTAGATAGTATATATGCTTTACTCAAACTCTAATAAAATACTGAGTGAAAGATCATACGTGCACAAAATATCCCAAGGTCCATTTTCTTTACAGCCTATTAAAGTATCTATAACTCTGCTCTCATAGTTAATTTTCTTGCTACCTATGATTTCAAGATTTTATTGCAGCTATATCAGTTATGAGTAAGACTATTATTGTCCATATTTTTTCCAGTCAACTTCAAAATTGTATTATCAGGCAATTGGAAGAAACTATTTGTAAAGTGAACAATTTATATGAGAAAGATGAGAAATATTAGATGAGAAAAAGTTAGTGTTTAGGTTACTGAAATCCCCTTTTAAAGTAGAATTTTACTTTCAATCGTGTAAATAAAATGAAATGACTATAATTTTTATGGAAAAGTTTTAAATGCTTATAATTGAACTAAACTGAAGATTTGTAACAATTTTTCATTCATAATAAAAAAAACTTTACTTTCTATTTTGGAACTATAGGAATATTTTACTACTTTATAAAAGGATACTTTACCCTATTTTCCTAGGCCCAGTGAGAACTAATTTTGTCCCACTTGTAAGTGAAGCTAACATATCTTGCTTTGATGTATCCTCTAAGGTTTTTGGAGAATGATCTTTGGATCTGCCTTCTAAGAGTTCAGAGGAAGAATCTTAAAATGAAAGAAACACATTATCTTAACAAAATTCCTACACACTGAAGAAAAAAATTAAGCCAATTTCCCAAATGATACATATTCACTAAATCAAGCTGGGATCACTGAAGGCAAAAGCACTCACAATTTGATATGTTTTTATTAGGTCTAGATATAGGTATATACCATGTTTCTCTTTTATGTATACTGTAATACTCTGGCCAACTAACATAAATGAAAAAATAGGGGGTGAGGGGTGGGAAATACTCCCCATAAAATCCTTTCACCATATGCCTATCAATAGAAAGCCAGATAGAGGGAGAGGGTAGGTAGGAATATATGCAGTAGTAGGATACATTTTTCATAATATTAATCCCAAACCATTTAAGCTTTAAACATTATTCACAGATATGTTGTGTTAGGCTCAAAAGTTTATCAGAAATCAAAGAGAAGTCAAGCATGCTTCATGTAACACAGAAAGAGTAGAATCATTGATAAATATGATTCTTGGTACCAATAGCTCCGTGTGATTATTCTAATGCAGCCTTACTCAATCTGATGCCTTCCAGATACATTAGAGCTACACCTCGCAGAATCCCCAGCCACTTCCAATTGGGAATTATGGCCCCAACACATCTTGAAGACATCAGATTGGGTAAGGGTACTGCAATATATGTAAGAAACTATATTGAATGGATAACCTTATAAAGTGCACTGTCTTTGGTAAAATCTTCCCTGGGAAGATGACATTAGAGTGTCTTACCATGTAAGACAGAAAGTTAGCTTATTCTTTATTAGGCCTGACTATATAATTTGCTTTGACTGGCAACAGTTTCCCAAGATGTGGTGAAATGTCTTCCCAGGGTCTGCATTTGCATTGTTATATAGTACTTGGCTTGAAGGATCTTATTTTTACCAATAAGATGATGGGATAAGAGACTAGCATTCATTGTAATGTATTGTACTGATAATATATTTGGAATGCTCTAGATTAACTATGTTGCAAAAATGCAAAGAATAATTAAGAAAGCAGCAATACTTTAATCAGTTTGGGACAACTGTGGTCCTCCAAAGTTGCTCAAATACCAGTAGTCTCCCAATATGCAACTGCCCACTGGCCATACAAGCTGGAGCTGTTGGGAGCCTGTAGTTCAGCAATGCCCCCATATGTCTATTTGGAAGTACATATTTTGCTTTTCTGTTTTTTACCTGGAGCTTTGCGAAGAATAGACTGCCGAACAATATCAGTTCCAAGGAGCTTGGACTGCTTGAAGCGTTTTGCTCTCTCTTCAAAGAACCATTCACCTGTTACTACCCTAAGTTGCCTGTATTAAAAAAATGAAAACAGTGAAGTCACTCTAACCATTAGTTGGCATTAACAAAATAACAGAATTGGAAGCGACCTTGGAAGTCCTCTAGTCCAACCTCCTCCTTGAGCAGGAGATCTTATACCATTTCAGATAAGGGACTGTCAAGTCTCTTCTTAAAGCCTCCAGTGATGGAGCACCCACAACTTCTGAAGTCAAGCCGTTCCACTGGTTAACTGTTCTCACAGTTAGAATAGTCACTTAGTCCTCTGGTTACCTCATCCATCCAAGATATTTGTGAGTATTGCTTTAGAAATTACTAAGACAAAAAAACCCATCCCACGCCTATGTAAATACAAGAGAATGAACTGGAAACAATACACCAAAAATTTGTGCCATTATTTACACTAAGCTACAATGTTTCATCAAGTCCACTTTAAGATGTCATTAATACATTATAATGCAAATATATGCAATTAAAACTTAGAGTAAACAAAGGATGTAGGAGAAGAGCAGACAGAGCTGGGGGGGAGTTAAACAGGCTATCATCCTAGAGTCCTTATGCTGCTACAAATGATCCAAGTCTAGCCCTCCTTGAATTCCTTTGTCCCTTATGTAGTGCCAATTTAGTGCTGACTGTTGACTAAATTCTTGTGTATTGGCTTCAATAAATCTTCTATGCTGCAACTTAAGGTATGGTCCTCATCCTTTGCATCTGACAAAGAATGAAAGCTTAACACTTCAGTTCTTTGTTCTAAATATATCTCATCCAATGACTCCCCTCTGCTAGGCTTCCAAAAAAGTATATCTTAAGATTGAAAAGAGATAAAAACAAAAATAAACAAAAGTTTAGCTCTACAATTGTAACCCAACAGCCTGATGCTCATACCAAACAAAATTTTGCTGGCATGTTTCAAATACAAGGGCAGTCACCAGCACGAAGAGCCTTAGAAGAATCTCTCAGATGTATATCAGTTCCTCATCTGTTGCCTGAATTATGAAGGCCCACGGCCATAGTACTAGTTCTAGGTTTTAGAGATTCTTGGGAAGATAACACTTTCCTCTATCTTGCATCTATGTCCTTTGCTTATTTTTTCTACCCTAAGGAAGTGTACAGGACAAATGTCAGGTGCAAGGAATCAGAACAAGACTATGAGCTAATCAGAGAGAAACTTCCTGACAGTGAGAACAATTAACCAGTGGAACAACCTGCCTCCAGAAGCGGTGAATGCTCCAACACTGGAAGTTTTTAAGAAGAGACTGGACAGCCATTTGTCCGAAATGGTATAGGGTTTCCTGCCTGAGCAGGGGTTTGGACTAGATGACCTTCAAGATCCCTTCCAACTTTACTATTATTATTATTATTATTATTATTATTATTATTATTATTATTATTTATAAGAATCTCACCATTCTCTTGGAAACAGCCAGATAAAGGCTTCAGGAATTCTCAGAGATCAGGTCTCTGTCACTTCCTTTCCTGCAAGAACTCCAAGCCCACCAGTCTTTTCCTTTCTTCCCCCATTCTAGTTGGAGATTCCAAGTTACACCAAGTTATTCCCTCACTCTTCTCTCTTGAATCACAGCATGCATTTTCAGAAAAACAAGGCAGCAGAATAAATAGCAAGGAGCAGTAGCAACAGAGCCAGGAGGCTGTGCCCACTGATGCCAAGGTTTGGGCTGAGCCCCACTAGGCAACAATTGCTTTCTATGGATTTTATTTATCAAAACAAATATCTTACTGTGAAAGGACCTTAGGGTCTCTCTTCTATTAGAGAGCTAAAAGAAATCAGAGGTTCATAATACCAAGATGGCAAGCAATAAAGTCTTGTGGTCATGAATATAAACAAACTAAGGTTTCAAATGGGTTATTTAAGGTAAATTGATATCAAGATGAAGTAGTTAATCAAATTTGTGATTGCAAGGGGTCCTGTCAGTCTGAACAAGTAGCCAAATAAACCCATTAAAATTAAACTGTTGCATTCAGGGTTCTTGTAAAGTTCATCACACACTGTTATTAAAAGATTCTTATGAAGCTGAAAATTAGTCTCTGAGTAGAAGCCGGCAATTTTTCCCCCCTGTTGATTGCTGCAAGTCAGCTAATGAATGAGTGGCATTTTTTTTCTTTTAAACCTTCCCTTCCTTCCTCCCATGAACCAGGCTGTAAAAGAAGGGAGCTTTTTCCAGAGATCTGATCCCTTACAGTGGGTTTTTGGAATTAGACCAAGAACCACAAGTGACCCAAAGAAATAAAAAGCAGTGGGTCAGAGCCATCATGTTGACTTTATCAGCCTCTGGTGGATGACTACCCTGAAATCATCAACTGGCCACTCTTGGTTTAAGAAGGATCCCTTCAAGAAAACACCAGAGCAGGGAGATTAATATTTGTGACTATGATTACTGTAAAGCAGACATGTCAAACACAAGGCCTGGGGGCCGGATGCGGTCCACGAAGTGGTTTCATGTGGCCCGCGAAGCCATCCTGGAAACAGTGAGGGAACGGCCCCCGCTGCCTTAGCCCTGGCCCAGGCTGGCCGGGAGCCAATGTACAATTTTGTGGTGGCCATCTATGCTGAAATGCATTCAGTCTTAGCTCCACAAGGCCGTCTGGAAACAGCAAGGAACCAGCCCCTGCTGCGTCGGCCTCACCCCCTGGGTGCATGCTGGGGAGGTGTCACCCTTTGTGAGGAATGAAGAAGTGCACCATCGCCTGGAAGTGGCCAGAAAATGGCCCTCACCAACTTCACATATCTGGCTTGATGGGCTCTGGGGGAGGGGTTTCGGCAGGCAGCGGGGCGCTCTCCTCAAAGCGCCGAGAGGCTGAGCCGGGCGGCGCAAATCCAAAAAGAAATGCAAGGCCGCCTAGCTCCCAGCCTGCCTGGTTTCAGCAGGCAGCAAGGTGCAAAGATGGCGAGCTTCGCATCGCCTGGCTCAACCTCTCAGCGCTGTGAGAGCGCCCCACTACCTGCTGAAACCGGGCAGGCTGAGAGCTGGGTGGCATTGCGCAGGTAACGTTGACTCTCACGCTGCTCATGGCATCCCCTCCCCCAGAGCCCACCAAGCCAGATATGTGAAGTAGATGAGAGCCATGTGCTGGCCACTTCTAGGCGATGGTGCATTTCTTTAATTCCTCATGAAGGGTGACACCTCCCCAGCTGTGTTTCTTGCCTGTTTTTCTCCCTCCCTCATCTCAAATATTTTCCCACCACTCTGTACTTAGGAAGGAAGGAAGGAAGGAAGGAAGGAAGGAAGGAAGGAAGGAAGGAAGGAAGGAAGGAAGGAAGGAGAGGGAGGGTCTGAGGGAAGTCCTGCCTTAGTCCTGCCCTGCTGCCCTTTCACCATTCCCTTGCCCCCTCCTCCTGGCCTATCCTGGGAGTCTCCCATCCTATTGCTAAGGAAGCTTTGGATACAAAGCCGGGTCTCCTCTCATGGAGAGGGAATGGGCCTCCCTCTGACTTTGCCCTCGTACCCATCATGAGCAACCTGAGTAAGGAGAGCAAGCACAGCAGCAGCAGCCTTGAGGAGGAGGTAAGTGCAGCTGGGTGCCCCCTTGGGGAAGTGGGGCTGGGCTTGGTGCCGCGGGTGCTCGAGGGCCAGGCTGGGCATTTGACTTCTGCTGTCCAGGGCTCCGGGCAGCCCGCACCACCATCAAGCCCCCCGCATGGCCTGAGAGGAACAGTGAGGCTCCTCCAGTGGACCATGCCTTGGCACTTGCCCTGGTCCCACCCCCTTCTGCCAGAGACCTCAGATCTGTCCCACTCCTGCCCAGGCCCCCACAGGCACCCTTAACATGAATGATGTACAGCTGGTCATGCCCACCCAGTAGGTCACACCCACTCCATCCATGCCCACCCAGTAGGCTGCACCCACCCTGGCCACACCCACCTGCCCCCCCAAGGACAACCACAATGCTGATGTGGCCCTCAATGAAATTGAGTTTGACACCCCTGCTATAAAGCATGTAATATATATCTTGAATCATGACTAATCCATCCAAGCTGCTGCCTACTCAAATATATCTCATGTATTTTTATGGAACAAGGAAACCCTCTGGTATAATTAGGTTTATTTACTAAATAGGGAGAGGCATGTGAAAAGCTAGAGTTTCAATTTGTTTGCATACAAAGTAAAAATGAAACCTTAAGCTGTTTATTTATAGCAATAAACAAGGCAGACTTAATAAAGATCTTAATCTAGAAATCTCTTATAGCTGTAGGATAAAAATAACTGGCATCATTGTGATACTCAAGCTTTGGTATTTTCACTTAACCTGCTATTGCTTAAAGCTTATACTAAATGAAGGGAGTTTTATTTGACTAAGCTAGCATTTTAGGACAGGGGCACTTCACCTTCTGTTAGTTCCTGAAACAATGGTGGCGCAGTAGTTAGAATGCAGTATTGCAGGCTAATTCTGTAGACTGCCAGCTGTTCGATTCTCACTGGCTTGAGGTTGACTCAGCCTTCCATCCTTCCGAGGTCAATAAAATGAGGAACCAAATTGTTGGGGGTAATATGCTGACTCTGTAAACCTCTTAGAGAGGGCTGTTAAGCCCTATGCATAGGTATATAAGTCTAAGTGCTATTGCTATTGCTCAAAACATTGAAGTAGCTGCTTTGGAAAATATCCCTGATTCTCTGCAGGTGCATGAAGAGACATTTCTTTGGAACTGCCCTGCGTACGTATGGATGGACCTCTGCAAGGGCAACAATCTTGAAAGAAGCCACAAGAGCCTTTCCAAGGACACAGATTCTTTCACACTTCAAAGACAGATGCCTTGTTTGCACTGACATGCTTCGCATAACTGAACTGGGCCTACCCCAACTGTGCACAAAACAGGGATGAATGCACTTTAAAGGGGGCCCTCCACATATTACCAGATTTGGGCCTGACATCTTGGTCACTGAGTGAGGTGGTTGTTAAGTGAGGAGCCACATGAATGTCCACAATCCCAGCTTTCCCAGCTGCAGTTATTAAGTGACCGTGCAGGTTGTTAAATGGCCTATTAGGAAGAAGTCTTCTGAATCTTCCAGTGAGGAGGGGAAATCCTGGTGAGTGCCAGCATTCTGAAAGGCTCAGAATCTTGGCATTCACTGGCATTTTTGCCAGGTTTCAGGTCTGTTCCTCCAGTACATGGGAGGATTTCCCCTCCCTGCAGGGAAGGGAGGGAAAATCCCTCAGTGTACTGGGGAAATGGATGTCAAATCCAATGTCACCTCTGCTTGCAACCTTCTCCATTGACTTTCTGGGAAAGCCATAAAAGAAAATCTGCAAATGGCAATCACATGATCCCAAGGCACTTGGCAACCAATTGTAAATCGAAACAGGTTATCGGGCGCAGGAAATGTGGTCATGTGATTGGGGGGTTAGCACAACAGTTTACAATGGCCAGAAGTCCTTTATTGGCCCCTAAATCACTTGTTCCGAGGCTGTTGTGATGGTGAAATGTCATTCAAACGCTGGTTGTAAGTCAAGAACAACATGTATTTTGACTCAGTCTTGCTATATCAACAAACACCTAAGTGAAATTAGTTTGTTAGGATGCTGTAGAAGGATGTCAAAATTGTCTACCCTAAAGATCTCTCTGACCTGAGCAAATATGGAGAGGATAGGCCCTAGAATATGCTGTATTAGTTTCTGCATCGTTCTGAGTTTCTGTTGCTAGGATCACATGAGCAGTTAAAGATTTCAGTGAAGACACTGAAAACAACAAGGCAATGAGCACTAGACATTTCAAGAATGGAGATTTTAATACCAGCAACTTTAATTACCCTGACATAATTTGTTAAACTTCAGCTATATTTAAAAATTAAAATGTATTGCAATTACCTTACTATACATTAAAAAGTTGGCAGTATTTTTTCATTTTGAAGATTCATAGGTAATATCTTGAGGCAGAACCATGTCCTTCTCTCCTCTAATTTTAACATCACTTCTTTGTAGAATATGGTTAACTGAGAGATGTCATTGGTTTAAGTCACTCAATAAGCTTCCATGGCTGAGTATGAATTTGTGTTTTCTCAGCGAACCTCCCTCCCAAAGTTAAGAAAGCTTCATATGAGGATTTACTAAAATGTCTTTTGCATGTACGTTATAAGTGAGACTTGATCTTTGATAATATGCTACACCGTTTCTTTTGTCATTCTCTTCATGTTCTGTTAAAAGATGTTTAGAAGTTCCATTGTTTTATATTTAAATATACAATAACGCTAATAATACGTAGTAACATCAAAACTTAATTTTATTTCTGTACACTCCAGAATTTGAGAAGATTTTTATTCTGGAGATCTGCTACATCAACCATTCACATGTCATCTAAATACATTAAGAATGCATGACATGCTTTTCTTTTCTTTTAACCTTTTTCCTGGCGCGGGGAACCATTATGCTATTGTACAAGGTATTCTTACAAATCACCAAATGTTCTCAGTATTACCATTGCAGTCTGTAAGAGGTTCTGAGTCATCACACCCACAACAGTCCTTGAGTCCTTAAAGCAAGGTAATGTTTATTAACACCTCCCTGGACATTTTTCACTTCAGTGCCCTGTTAACAGGAAATGGCTGACCTCGGATGAATGTCTTGTTTCAACAAATTAAGCCCCAAATGTCCTTACTTTTCTTACCATCCCTGCCTATTGATAATTATATTTTTTGGCAAAAGTAAAGAGATCAGGAAAATTAATCTGGTATTAGAAAACAAGACTTACGCAATTTTATCACACACTGTGCACTTCCAACTGCTGTCAGTTGCTAAAACACGACACTTGTTACAAACTCTCAGGCCACATATTTGGCAGTGGTCACCTCTGTCAAAAATTAAGCCCAAATTTTTCTGACAGCGAGTGCAGACCCTGATGTTATCTTGTTGGTGATGCCGTCCACCTTTACGTTTCACTTCCAATAACTCATTCTTTAGTTTTCTAGAAAAGAAAAGAAAAATCCAGAAGGTTCACAAAAATATCTTGAAATATATGAATTTGCTGTTTCATTAATAGTCAAAAGGTTTGTGCAAGACACAATTTGAGACAAGCATCAAAAACTGATGTGTATCTATTAATGAGGCATCCCAATATTTTTTCATAATTGTAATACTATAGTACATTAAACAAGCCTGATAAGATAAATGAAGTGCCTGATTGCATTTTGTATACTAATCACTTTCTCCATCTTAAAACTGAAGGGCAAAGAGGATGGGGTTAATACATTGAGGACCATCTTAGTTTAAAATATTTTTAACCCTTTGCTCCCAGAGAGCATAAAATATTCATAGGGTGATTTTCTACAGAGCAGCCTTGCAATCAAAAGGAAAGATACGTAAATCCCAATACAAAATCCATCTAGCTTGCAGGACTTCTGGGAAATGAAATGCCGGTATACCCGCATAAGGTGTGGGACTGGTAGTGAGAAGACCCATGTTCTAGTTCATGGTCAATCATGGAAGTTTTCTGGGTCACTTTGGCCCATTTTCTCAGCCCAACATATCTGTTGCACAGGAAAATAAGAAAGAGGTGCTCCATATATGCTACCTGAGCTCCTGAGTTAAAGTTGGGATGTGTGTGTGCTGTCGGTTCAATGTCAACTCCTGGTACTAGTATCTGCCATTTTCTTGGGAGCATTTTCAGAAGTGGTTTGCCATGGCCTTCTTCAATGGGGTGTGAGAGAGTACAGGCAGTCCTCAACTTACATCCACAATTTAGCTCAAAATGTTGTTGCTAAGTGAAACATTTAAGTGAATTTTCCCCTATTTTACCACCTTTCGTGCCACAGTTGTTAAGTGGATCACTGCAATTGTTAAATTAGTGAATCTGGCTTCCCCATTACAAGACTTTCTTGCTTCTAAGGTCACAAAGGGTGATCACATGACCCTGGGATACTGCAATCTTCATAAATATGAGTCAGTTGCCAAGTGTCTGAGTTTTGATCATGTGACCATGGAGACATTGCAACGGTCGTAAGTATGAAAATCATCTTACATCATTTTTTTCAGCTCAATTTTGAATGGTAACTACATGAGTTGTTGTAAGTCGAGGACTACCTGGAACTGGCCCAAGTCACCTGGCTGGTGTTGTGCCTATGGCAAGAGTAAAACTCTTGCTCTCCTGGTCTCTAGCCTGGTGCCTTAACCATTAAAACTGGCTCTTACAAGTAAGATAGGCTGTCCAAATGAAGGAGCAGGCCAGGACTGGTGACAGTTTCAGTCTAGACTGTTTGTTCTGTCATGGGTACTATAAAATATTTTATCCATTATAAAACAAGCTCTGCTCAAAAGTAGTTATAGGCAAAGAGATGAAGCAAATGGATGTGGAGTGTGAAATCATATTGACATGGCTGGGACATGTATCATAATTTGATTATCTTACAGTAAGAGACAAAGCTTTGTTCAATTTGGGTCAATAATTCAAGTGTGATACATTAATGTTTCACTGCATTAGATGGAGCTCACTCCTGAATCCCACAATGTAATTTTAGCAAACAGCCTGATATTCTGTCTCCACAAGACAATTATGCAGATCCTGCAGAGATGCAGTTGTTAAGCATATACAGCAATTTGTGCCTCATTTATACAGCGTGATATGCATTTCCTCCAGAAAAGGAAGATACAGAAGATTAAACCTATTATGAGCTGTACAAAGGCATCACATTTGCTCCCAAAAAGATAAGGAAACCTTCAGAAGAATAATGCTAAAATACCCATTCTGCTATTTTTTGGCACCATCTCTTTCAAGTCAATACTGTTTTACCCTTTCATTCCATCTAATCCAACTCTGACATACTAGCTTGGCACTAGCTACAAAAGTCATCTTTTTGTCCTCTAACATTTGTACTGGCACTGATAAGGCACTCTGAGTCACACATACATTCATATGTTAAAGCCCAATTCACTTGACAAATACTGCATTAGTGCAGGAAGAAGAAACTGCTTTAATATTATTTTTGCTAGCTAATAGCTAGCAGCTTCCATAACTAACCAAAATGGCACCAAAATGGTGATAGATATGATGACTTCATCATGCAAATGCTACCAATACTCTGTTGTATCCCAACTTTTGACATAAGTATTTGCATGATAACATTAATGTGCAAATTTTCTTATTTCTCCCCACTCCCAGCCCCATGCAGATCCCCATCCTAAGGGGCAGAGCAGAGACATTGTGCAAGTAAGCATGTATAATCTGGGGGAAGAGCAGATGTCTTAAAGAATATGACTTTAAGCAGTAGCCCATCATCAATACACTTTTCCCACATTACAGTACAACATTGGTTCTCAACCTTTTCTTCGCCCACAGACCTCCTTTAAATACCCTTTGTGGCCACAGACCAAGGCCATGGACCCCAAGACCTACAGTATCTCAAGATTTAAATCATAACATTTCTTCAAGCCCTCATGGACTCCCTGTTGAGAACCACTGCAATACAACATAATTCAGAAGTGAATGGCAAACTGGAAATTTCAAATAAAATAAAATGCTCCCATGTCTCTCATACCCTTTTGACTTCCATAAACTGCAAGTATATGTAAATAGCAGGCAAAATTTCAGTTTGATAAAACAAAGATCTCAGGAGGGACTGAGGTTCACCAATGTAAAGTCTGGATTAATAATAATTAATAACTCATTAATATCCCAAGGAAATAATGGCTACAATTTTAATTCGGCCAACATCCCAACGTGGAACAGGTTCTGGTACTCCCAAGGAGAACTATTAATTCACATTAATCCAGTTAGACCATTAATCCACATGTGATACAGTAACTATCAGCAACTCTCAGGGATTGCAAAACAAGACAGTTTCTCAGGCCAATATGAAGATGTCAGAGGCTGCAATTTGACTGTTAATATGCAAAACACATATGCTACCATTTAGCAATGATTATGCCCTGAATCAAATTATTTGATTAACCGATGTCATTAGTCTGGAGCTGCTGTTCCAAACCTCTGCTCAAATATGCTTCTCCTTTATTCTTCACTATGCAGCATAATTTATTAAATAAAAGACAGGCAGCTCTTCCAATGCTTCAGCTCTGTTTTCTGCAAAAATACTACTTTCTCTATCGAACTGAAGGACAACCAGTGGAAATCTAGAACTATTAATTTTCAGAAAAATATATTGAGGTGGTCTAAAAACATCCAAATCCAGCTATTCCATTTAACTTAAGTACTGTAGGTCTGACCTTGGCCAGGATATGAATAAAAAGAACTCCCAATAATCTCAAGAATTGAAGAAAAGAAGAATAGAGATGAGATGAACCCTGGTGCCGCTTTAGTTCATTATAAATTCTTGCAGCTGTGTTTTGCATCTCCCTCTGGTATCTTCAAAACTGAATCATTTGATGATTGTCACAATATACTCTGATTTCAGAACTGAAGTAATTAAGAGTTTCTGAAGAACATGCAGTAGAGGAGGCAAAGGAATAAGCTGAACTTCATTTACTTTCAATCCAATTTCTAAACAAATACTGTCTCTTGTATAATAATGCCAAATAGAATTTTCTACATCAGAATAAACTCAATAGCAACACAGTTATATACATGGAGAATAAGAACAGTTTTTGTCAAAAAGTGGGTTTTAAAAGGTAAAAATCTAAGTGCATAGATGCTCAATTAAAATACTGTAGATTATACACTTGGCCTTCTTTCCTTTGAAATCAGTGAGTCTAATGCTTAAAAGAGAGACATTTTCATTTATTTGAGCTAATATGTAAAGACAACTTTAATTCAAATATTATGAACAAGGTACATAGGATGCAAATAATGCATTTTACAGCTCTATTAACCCATCAATGGATCTGGAATAATTACAGTATCAATATATTACCATTCCAAAGAAAGACATTAACCTATATGTTATGTGTACAAACCTAAACAATAAAATAGCAGTTTAAAACAGAAAGCCAAATTCTGAACAGTTTTATATAGGTAACTGGGAGAACAATGATTTTGTTACCTAAGTGTCCATGAGATATGTACAGGAGAGCCATCCTGTACAGAGAATTTTGCAAAGAGAATACTATAACAGAATTTTTTTCCCTTCTGGATTTACAAAAGAAGCTTGTTAACGTTTTTATGAATTCTGTGTGATGAGACAAAGAAGAAATGAAGAGAAATCAAATTCTACAACAGTATTTGAAGGAACTAAAGATTAAGACTGTTAGAAGTAAAAGGAAGGAATATAAACTTGATTTATCTGACCAAATTAAAACAAGATACGGTGTTATCTTTGGCAACATTTTAAGGACTATCTGCTGACATCAGAACTGAAAAGATATGGATTCGTTTTTAGATAAATTATGGGATATGGGATGAAGAGATAATGTTTTTAACCTTAGAAGGGATGAAGAGTTATTAGATTTACTTATACTTATTATGATGAAGGTTGGGGTTACAAGTTACTTCTTTATATATTTATTTTCCCTTTCCTTATTTTATTCTTATTTTTTTCTCCTTTTTTCTTGCCCTTTTTCCTTTTTATGTTCTTTTTAAAGTTTGTATTAGATTTTACTATTACAATAAAAATTCTTAAAAATATATAGGTACACTCCAACAACTCTGCAGACTCCTCTGTTACTGAAGAATCACAGCCTGCATTCTGCTCTGCTTGTTCAATCATCTTTTTGTTACCGACTCTGGTCTTTCTGGAAGGCAAAGTGCATCTAAACCCACAGACCTACATGAACTTACAGCTAACAAAGTCTGCCCAAGAGCAACCAGTCAGCTTCTTAGCTGTAATATTGATCTTTAAGATTTGAGTGGTATGGACTTCGGGCTGAAGATTTCTCCCTCTACGGAGGCTAATTTGTGACTGATTTCCTCTTCTATTCTCTGCAAAAGATTTATTTGATTTTGGCCAATTTTCTATGTTTATCTATCTTGCTTAGAACCAGGATAAGTAGAAATACAAAGTACAAAACTTTAAAAATAGTACGTAGTTTGAATACTAACCATTTTCTTAAATTGCCAACATCAGTTTTGCTCATGGCTTATTAATGCTTATTGTGCACCAGCAGCTTCATTTGTGCCATTTGGGTTTTAAACTGAAGCACATTATTTGTGTTAAGAGAAGGCAAGTGCAAAATTCTTTCCTTACTATGTACAAAAATGTAAGGAAAAAAAAATACCAAGATTAGTTAAAAGCCTAAACTATTTTAAAATGTACACAGTAATTAACTAGTGTGCTTTCTATAAAATATTGAAAAACAAAGAAATAATGATAGTCCATACTATAGATTTATAGTTAATATGAAATGCATTCCCTGAGCTAGATAGTGGGAACTATAATACACAATATTAGTTAACTTAGAAATAACAATAAAAGAAGAATTTGTATAAGAACTTATAACCTACGAGCATATTACCGTATATCAGTGACACCAGAAGATACAACCAGATTCAATAATTTCAACCGAGTATGAAATGTTTGTGCTACAGTACACACAAAAATAATGTTAGTGCTAGACACAGCTATTATTTTGGGCAACTTATCCCGATTTCTGTGAAACTATGCAGGACTATATTGTGCATGTGTACATGTGTTTCATACCAACAATTTCTAATTAGGCTCCAGTTATCACAAAGAATAATCTTTTTAAAAAGTTTAATGCCAAAGCTGTGCACGTGAAAAAGGAGCAAAATGTAACATTTATAACTATCGCTACTAACACATTTCCAAACCAAGCTTTAATATTTCGAAGTTTAAATAGTATAGATATTTTAATGATTACCTGATTCGTTTATCTTCCAATTTTTTCAAGTATTCATCTCTTTTTAATACTCCCAAGATTGTTTCTCTTTCATGCTCTAATAAAAACGATAGATTGAGTATTTCTGCATTGTTAGACATGTTCCTTCAATTGTTATATTCTTTAATAGAGGTGTTTTCTGGCAGGCAATAAGATTTTAAGAGCGCATCATTGGAAACATCCAAGTGCTATAGTTTCTTGTCAGGAGCTAATTCATATATTTCATATCAGTGTCAAAAGAGATTTTGGTCATTTTTAGTTATTTGAATGTTCACTGGAACTTTTGCTTGAATTCCTGAACATGCTGTGAACTTCTTTCATAGGTTATCCTCAAGTTAATAATTGCCCTGAGTCCTTTTACCTGAAATGAAAACAACAAAATTAAGAATTAAAATTAAATATACATTTACTTAAACCGTTTGTTGAATGATTTCAATGTTTAATAATTTCAAGACAATAGTGAATGCCCACCTGTTTGCACAACTGGAATATTTAATTAATAGAAATAATAATTGAAATTGAATGACAATTAAAAATAATAGCAATGACAATCAAAATGAAACAGACACCATTCATAACTCACACTGCCCCTTCCTCAAAAGCAATTTCCATCTTGATGACTAAAGTTCTGCTTAAATCCAGGGAAAATCCAGACTTTAGGTATTTGATTCAGTATCATTTAAGCTTTTTAATGTCATGATCAGCACTTTGAATTTTACCAGTAAACAAAATAGTTAGGGAAATTATTTCAACAATTGAACAATGTCTGACCGCAGCATTCTGGACCTGCCAAAGAGAATATTTCATATGATTCTAGTTAGATTTTTCATTTCCAGGAACAGACACAGTTGAAAAACTTGTTTTGACTGAACAAATTAATACTGATCCTTGGAATCGAACAAGGAATCCCTAGACTCCTGGATTCAGGCTGACTTCAGCAGTCCAACTGAGATGTGCTTCTGAGTCTTCACAAAGATAACTCTGTCTAACAGAGGTTGAATCATATTTCCTGATCTTCCATCTGACTAAATAAGATTATAGTATTTCTGTCTCCTCTGGATCAAACTTCAATTTGTTTGCCAATTTTCAACACTGAATAGTGATTTTGACCGAAAGAAGAAAAAAGAGTGTCATTAGCATGGTACCTATTGTACACCAATACTTATACATATACAGGATGGATTTTGTTTGTGTCTGTGTAATTCAAGTATTATGTGGGAAGGTGAAACCATAGATGTTGCATATCCACAACAATACTGGAATAGTTCGTGAACAGTCTCTTTCAGTACCATGTACAAGCTAAATATTAGAAGAGAAGATGGATACCTAAAGGACATCACAAGCCAACAGATTTTGGATGAATGGGAATCTCCTAGCACTACCTTTTAAAATGATTTCTGCAACTTAACAAAAGCCATTAAGAAATTAAATAGAACCAAGAGAACTATATTTTGCTTTGTCTAGTTCTTTGTGGAGATTATTCAACTAGTCTTTCTCCCATAACAAGCCTTAAAGTCAGCTTGAAATAGATCCAGGTAATTGATGTCCTCCACTTTTCTAGAATACTATAGAGCTATAATACTCCACTATACACTTCAAGACCTTGCCAAATATTACAATAGTGAATTCTGTTAAAAACTTAATAATTTACAGTACAAAATTTCACCACTACATTTTTACAGATGAAAAAAATCATTCTGTATCACAAAGACACATTCATCATTTGCCACTGAGTCTGTTCTCCCCAGCCAGCAAGGGTCAAGCATGATGTAATACATCTCACCTCTGAAAAGAACCTGCCCATATTCTCATGCTACCTACATTGTAAAATATCTATTTTATCTGGACAGGAACAGACCAAATTTGCATCCAATGAATCTATAGGATATGCCAATCAGTCTGACTTGAATTGGATTCTCATAATTGGCATTTCAGGTAGTCCTTGAGTTGCAATCACAATCGTGCCTTTAACTTTGAGACCGTTTACATCCCTGATGTCTCAGACATCTCAACTAACTTCTGAAACTTTCCATTTGTCACCTTCGTTATCTTTTTCACCTCCACCGCCTCTTGTTAGAGAGCTGCACAACTTGGTCTCCGCAATGGCTGAGATGTTTCAATCGTTTGATGTTAAATTTCAAAATAGATGTGATCAA